GTTGAATGGTTGATATCGTTCCATATGCGGTGGCGAGAGATAAATCAGACAAGCAGTCAAGGGACTCTTTCAAGTTGACGTTGAGGGGAACCCAGGCCCGAAAAACAAGGAATTATTTGGATAAGGATTGAATGTCGGTGACAATGACCCGAGACCACGCGCCAGTGATGCGACAGCGGCAAAGATGAGCGATGATGGTATGTTGTGAAGATGGGCAGGTTTCAACTGTTCATGTATTTGCACAAGCAAGTCATGCGCCCGCCCTGTAAAGTTTGGATTTGTCCGTCTCTGCTGAACAGACCGAGACGAAGTCGCAGCACAATTTGTAAATGCATCGAGATAAGGGGTGAGCAATTATATGGATTATCGATATACTCCCGAGTTTACGGTTCCGCTTCTGTGAAACAGTCACATTGGATGCAGGGCGCACAGGTGATGATTACAGAGTGCAGACGATCTCGAACTGCGTTGAAGTTGCGCTGGCCAGGGCGAACACCGATAGAGGTTAATCAGACATGATGCACGGGGTTCGGGGTTGCTTCGGGGTCGCACCGCCAGTCTGAAGATCCAAGGAACGACCCCGTACCCGTGCGCCGAGCGACGGCCGCAAGCCGGACAGCGTACATGCTGTTTACGATTTTTTTTGTTGTTTTCGGGTTTTATGACCGTCCGTGTCCGTAAAACGAGTGGGGAAACCGGAAAGTGTGCGAATCGGTTGTCGCATTGAAGGAGACCAAAGGATACGACACCAGTCGAGGCAAAAGGACCCAGAAATCCAGTTGGAGACGCGAGCGATGTTGAGGTTCGAAAGTCAAGAATAACGACGTGACAGCTTGTGACTTACCGTCACATCTCTTCCTTATGACGACATCATCGACCGTTCAAGCTGCGCGCTGCGCGTCTGCTCTCTGCTTCACACCTTGTCTTTGTGCCACCCTTTCAAGTCCAAATCGAATCCTACCATGTCCTCCCTTGAGTCTATACCGCTGGAGGTCATTCTGGACAACCTCTTGGCCATCATGCCCATCCAGAGTCTTGTCCGGTTGGGATCGACCAACAAGGCACAGTGCACCAAAAACAACTCAAATATCGCCATGGCTGACCTTTCCCCGCATTACTCCAGCTCTTTGCTGCCATCTGCGCAGACGAGTTGCTATGGCTCCGGCGTCTGCAATGCGACATGAATTTTTCACCTGATACAGCTCGTGTGAGCGGATCGTATTACAAGTTTATATATAGAGGGCTGTATCGCCCCAAAGGTCAGATTATTACGGACACCGTTGTCGCCTTCTCGCTGATAAGTGATTCCCACCAGTGTTTGTCTGGGGGTAAGAAGTCCTGGTCAACTGACTACCCTCATTTTGGAATTCACACTCGTTTCCAGCGAAAAAGCGAATGGTCGTCTCGGCTTCGGAAACAAATTTCCCAAGTCCAATCTTATCAACGACGGAGTACCGTTTCCCACCCAACTAAGAATCCCAGGGACTCGGATTGTCAACATCGTGTCCGGGGGAACGTTTGTACTTTTATGGTTTCTAATGTTCTTACTTATGCCGTAATCAAGGTCCTTTCATGCGCTCGATTCAGAGGGCAATATCCACGTCTGGGGTAAGTCTGCCAAGGTATCTTTTTGTAGCTCTAAAACCGTCCCAAGGTACTTTAAACGGACAAATTGGAGCGCTCGGTAGCGACGGTTTTTCGGTACCTCACAAGCCTGCCCCCACGCCATTGCGTCTGGAACTGCCCACCAAGATCAAACAAATCAGGCAAGTAGTTCCGTCTTGTTAAGATTGAGACACTGACATCGCCGCGCTCAGCTGCGGGAGATTTCACTCTGCCGCTTTGGGTCCCTGGGGCCAGGTTTGGAATTTTACAAGCTGGGGCCGTCCTTTCACTCTCTCCTCTCACCATCTTCGCGCGGACTCGAAGCCCATACAGATCGAATGTGGCTGGGCGTTTTCCTCTGTCCTCACGAAATCAGGCGAAATATTCGTCTGGTGGACGCAGTCTGGAACGATGTTGGAAAGAATTGATTCTAAGAACACGGCTATGGACAACGAGGACCTTTTCGCCAAACCTCTTCCTGACGGTGTAATTCCTTGTGCGACTTGGAATCTGGAAGCGGATCCGACTAGATTGCCGGGACTACCTCCTTTGCCGAAATTGACCGAGATCGGTGACTTGAATGAGGACCAGGAAGAACCCAAGATCATCAGGATAGCTGCCTTGGACGCCCATCTTGTCGCTTTAACAAACCAGGGCCATGTTGTAAAGTTTTTGGGCCTCGGTAATGAAAACACCGTCGCCGGTGGCAGGTGGCAATACGCAAGTGTCTCCAGCATGTTGTTTAATCATACCCAAACTGATACGGCAATTATGATCTTCCAGCTCCCCAAGTTCAGCGAACTTGATCGAGTGCGCGCCATGTCGCCCTTCATGCCAGCTGAAGGCTCACCCGGAATCGAGCCTCCCCAAACGATGAAGATCACTCATGTGAGTGTATCCCATTGAATTCAGGCTGCAACACGTTTATCACGGGTACAGATTTCAGCGCATTTTGAAAAGTTTTTTGCATACTCGACCGGCACGAGCTCCGTGGTGCTTATGGGCGATACGAATACGACGGAAGATTCAGATCCCCATATCGAGCCCGCTCTTCAAAATAAATCTGTCATTTCAGTTCTTGTTGGCGACTGGCACAATGCCGCCCTGACATCATCTGGCAAGTTGTTGACATGGGGAGGGTACTCGGCCGGAGCATTGGGCTTGGGTGACCCCACAACGTTGACTCCAGGGACGCCAGGGGCGTTTGCCACCGAACGCCAGCGCTTAGATGCCCTCGAACGTGGCATAGGTACTCCGCGTGGCGCAGACGTCCCGACAGAGGTTCGTTTTGACCATGCGCGGAAGAAACCAAAGGAGCGATTCTGTTTTCTCGCCTGTGCCGCAGGATGGCAGACCGGTAAATAGGCTTTTTAACGTTTGTTTTCACTCCTTGATTTGACCGGGATACAGGCGCTTTGGTGATCGATCTTCAGGTATTTTTCAAGGTTCGATCAACGAATATAGAAATCTGACCTGCTATAGGATGATGAAGACGAAGAATCTGAAGAGGAAGAAATGCAAGAGGAAGCTCCACGCCGCCCGGCTCGACTGGGCCGAGGTGGACATGGCCTACCTATTCATCTGCCTGGGCTCCCCGTAGGCGGTCCATTCCGCATAGGTTTTGCTGGTAGAGGCGCCACCAGGGGACGGGGAATGTAAGTCAGCTCTCGCTGATTGTCGTTTTGTGTGTATAGTATAATTGTACGGAAATCATAAACGTAAGTGGATTGACATCGGCAGACGGACGTTCCTCATATTCCTCCGTTTAGGAATATGTACACTGTTTCATGCAATAAGATCTTGATTTTCTGCCGCGACGATGAGTACGGAGGTTCTCTGCATACATGTGCACACCTCGTGTGTCTAAGGTTTTGCTTTCGTCGGGCGCGGTGGCAACGGTACTCGGGTGTCGTTCGCTGAACTCTCCTCGAACTCGGGGGCTTGTTATGGCCGTCTCGAATGGGTCAATTCAGGCTGAAGATTCAGCCGATGTGTTCACGCTGTCCAGAGGCTTCGCGTGTTCCAGCGGCGTTTCCGAGATCGTGGTGAGGTCTTGTTGTATGTATCAAGCTCCATGGTGAAGATTCATCCGCTGTGCAGACGCTATCGATAGGAAATCTACGAACTCCTTGAGGGGTCGCTCATGTAAACATGAAAGCTGTATGTTTCAAGCTTCAACTCGATTCAGACATTATCATCCGTCGTGCCTTGTGGCTGTCGAGAGGGTTATAAGATATTCAATCCGCTTTCACGAACCACGCGCTCTCCGAGATGGTGGCGAGAGTTTGTTTTCAATGCATTCTATGTTGCTGAAATTCAGATGCTTGATTGAAGGTCCAAGATTCATCGTTGTCCAGGAGATCTATTGTACTCAAGGAACCACATGTCAGAGTTCAGCTTATGTATTCCATCTCGATTCAGGTGTTATGCATTGCGGCTGTCGCTGCATTCGCGGCAACAAATCGTGCACGGCTTGAAGTTCGCACTTGCGGGATCTCGGCGAGTGGCCGAATTGGAGTTGACGCTGCGGTTCTCCTTTGGGAGTATGCATGTAATCCACCAGCTGCGCATCCACCGTTGTACATCCAGCATTCTAGTGAAGAGCAGGTGCGGCGAAGTCCATGCTGAAGGCTGGCATTTCCGAGATCTCTCATAGTTTTGCTGCATGCAATGGCACTGCTCTGGACGTAACCTCTTGAGATTCAATTAGCACGCGTACCGCAGCGATGTAGCATGCATTTTTAATGGAGAGCAGGGTATCAAACAGAGTGAAAGCGAGATGTCCGCAGACGTCAACACCAACTTTGAGTCTGACTCTCAGAAACAGTTGAGTTGCAATTGCAAGAGCTGTAAGGCACGTATCCGCACGAAAATTGGGCGGCAATGTACGCTGGGATGACCTGAATATGAATACATGTACGTTGGATATGCAGGAGGAAAGGCAACCGAGGGGATTCGCTGTCATAGTCCGTAAGGTGCCTTCCAGAAAATCGCCGATTGCCAAGGCTACAGAGCACCAAATCGCATGAATTTTGAGTCGCAAGGTACATCTAGATGCGCTGAACAATGTTTACTATGGTGTTTCCACCAGAGAGGGACGGTAATCGGGGGGATTCTTGTTTTGGACGGCATCACCGTAGAATAAGGTGCCATCAGAAATTCGAAGATTGTGAGAGCTATAGTGCACCAAACCACATGAAAATTAGGTCGAAATGCGCGGAACGTTAGCGCGCGCACGGGGGGACATATCAGCAAGCAAGGCGAAGTAGAGAAAGCTTGAGATTTGGGGTTGAATCAGAAAAAAATGATTTTTGCGAAAATTGACGTTTTTGAGCGTTCCGATGCTTCAAACGCTTTCAAAGTGGGTTAAAACTGTTCGGAAAAGCGTCAAAAAGGGGTCTGACCGGGAATTGAACCCGGGGCCTCCTCGAGTCACGTGACTTACGCCCTAACAAGGAATCATACTACTAGACCATCAGACCGACAGGAACGACTCAACCTTTGAATTTATCGAGCTTCTGGAAATTTATCGAGCTTCTGAAGCTCATAGGATGATAAGAGTGCTTATTGCGGGTGGGAGCAATGGAGAGACCAGCTATTTCGAGAAGCTTAATGGCGCAGGAATGATTGTGAAAAGATTTAGCTGCTCCAGAGCCAAGACTGTAACAAACTTTCACGCTTGACCATGAGATACGGAGTCGTTGAGTTCGTTCGCAAGGAGATTAGAAATATTGCTGCGAACTATTGTCAACCAAAAAATCAATGAACAACCACCCAGACAGTGTCACCAAATTTAGAGTCATTAAGTCACCAGGTTTTGGTAGTTTCTGAAAGAGTGAGCACGTTGGTGCGAGGCTAGCAGTTTCGCTCACGCAAGTACCACATAGTGGGTGGTATCAACTGCGCGTGATACTCAAATCTTGAATCGCGCAAGTGTCAAGAGACGGTGAAGCAAGACAGATAGTATCGGCCTTAATGATCTGCTGAGTCTAAGCGTTGGCTCTCCTACTTTGAGTACTACTTAGAGCGAATGACTTGCCTCGAGCAGATTATGTTGGCAGAATGGAAAATATTTCAAATAAGTGCTAGGCCTTGAAAACTCTGAAATGACTTATCTCTCCCTAAGACTCGGAGAGTCTCACATCGAATTCGCGCAAATCACGAACATACATGGAAACCAGGGGCATCATTCTCAGAGGCGGAATGAGAATGAACGAGATACTGATTTACCGGATACAGGAACGCCAAACTCTGTACATTGAAATTGCAGTCATGAGTTATATATGACGGACGCCTAGCTTGAAAAATGCTCGAGGACATCTACTTCCTATCCTGAATATGAATCTAATGAGCTCGACGCGCACCATCGCGCTCACCTTAATTTTACTAGATTTCGAAAGCAATTCGTCCAAAGTCTTGTTCGAGCCCTCGGGGGTTTCGCCGACACTCATGGCCTGGAACATCTTCAACATCTCCGGCGTCATCGTCGATGTACTTAGCATCATAGGTCGACCATTCGGGCCAGCAACGGGAATAGTCAAGACCTCCTCGGATTGCCCTTGCCCAACGGCAGGGAGGTCGTGCTCCTGTGAAGCGTCATCAACTACATAGAATACGGAAAAGCAAACAGCAGATCGTGACCTTGGTCAAAATGGAGCACGATGCTCCGGGTTTACAAAACGGTTTGTGGTTCTTCCAATCCTGATCGTTGCAGTTTAATGCACCAAACAGATAACCAGCAGAGAGCTGTACGCACCACTTTCTCTGATGGTTGGAGGCGCCAGACTATCAAGTCACTTGTGCGAAGAGTTGAATTCAAGACTCACGGCATCTTGAAAAAAGGATCAGTATACACCAAGCATTCGTGACCTATACGCACTCTTTGCTGCAGTACGCAGGCTTGACATCGAAGTCGCAAGACCCGGCACCTTCGAAACACCAACTTAGCTTCGCCATCACGTAGGAAAGAGCATGGTACTCACAGCTTCGCAGCCCTCCCCCTTTGCTGGCCTGAATATAGCAGGCAGGGGCAGCACAAACGTATCGATTGGAATTTTTCTCTCTTTTTTTCTCCGCCTTTTCTTGCTTCTCGGATACCTCTTGGTGACGCTTCTCCAACGCCAGCCAAAGCGGTTTATACAGAGCCTTCAATGCCGTGACCTTTTCTGCCTGAGGCTCCAGGATTCGATAACCAAACCACAGGACCTGAGGAGATGCGTCTCCTGCCAAAATAACGGATTGATTCGCATGAAAGGCTGCGCCAAACATATATCGAGCGAATAAAGAGACGGTGCTACTGCTGGTGAACCAATCAACGAGAAGGCCATGCGCACGGCTCTTGAGGTCCTTGGAGGCACTTGAACTTTGTATGACCTTTATGAGATAGTAGTAGTGTAGAGAGCGGCTCGGAACAACGCCCAGATTGCATCGGATGCTGTTTGCGGGGTATTGAATTGCAAAGGCCAGAAGGGAGGGAGGAGAAAAGTACCAACCGCACGGCATAATCAAGAGCAGCCGAATCGTTGCCCGCATCTGCTTCCTTCTGCACCTGTTTGATACTCTTGGACGACAAAAGTTCCATTGCAGCCTGTGCTTGCTCCATGATTCGGGCGGACACCTGCGAGTTGGGGACATGCCTGGCGTCGATGCCAACCTGGTGGTATACTTGTGCGTATTTCACCCCCTGCTCCAATTCATCAGAGACTCTGTCCTCGCCCCATGGCGCGGGTTTGAAGATCGAGAAACTGATGCCTTCGGGAGGGCTCATGGTCGGTATGACGCGTGTAGGGATATCCAGGCTTTGGATCATGGACAACCAAACTCCCGTGAAAGATCGGTCCGCTACTTTGAGATGCGCGTTCGAAACCTTTATGTTACACAGCTCCTCTCTGACACCGATGCGCTTGAATTCTTTCCCAACTGCTGCGGCTAATTCGCGGTCATCTGTAGAAAGCGACCATGGTGCGTATGGTGGAGGAGGGTTGCGCTCGAGTTTGTGGTTAACCAGACTATCGAGAAAAGCCTGCATGAGAGCTTTGGCAATTTCTGGAGCCGCCTCAGTGCCACTTTCAGGGAAGAACGCGATGCCATTAGCTGCTCCGAGCGGCAAACGCTCGATATGAATGTAGGCGCTTTCGGGTTGAACCAAGAATAAGACATGGGAGGGCGGATCCAAGTAGATGAATCGCAGATCGAAATGCCAATTGTTGCTGACTAGCCCTGAAGGCGACTTGGGCCTGCGGGGAAGCGCGTTGAACTTTGAAACCTGCATCCCAAGAGAGAGAAACCCAGAGGTACTCAGTAACAGCGAAGTTAGGAGAGAAGTCACAGATGACCGTCACAACTTTTTAAAAAATTTCCACTCAGTCTTTGCGTGTTTACATCGCCAAGCGGCCATACAGGACTCAGCGATTCCTACTGGTACACATTATACATATTTTACATATCCCTAGATCCAATACCATACAGAAAATCAAAAGGAAAGACTTTGATACACATTCGCATTCGGACCCTGCCCCTTGGCACGCCGCCTGGACGACCGGTGTACTTGGAAGGTTTGTTTGGTACCTGGCGGTGTCCGTGGTATAGTAAGGAACGTCATCGCAGGGGACTAGATATCCAATCAACATGCATCGCGATCCAAGTTTAGGAAACAAACTCACGACTTTGCGTAATTCTTCATCGGCGTCTTGCATTCTCTCCACGACTTGCACCATGCTGGGTCGCTGCGCCACATCGTGCGACCAGCACTGTTGCACGATCTCCCACAGCGCATTTGACATCAATTCCTGGCCGTCTGCGTCGCAGGGCCGCGACGGTCTCTCTTTCGCCATGACACGCAGCATGACTGCTGCGTCATGGGATATGTCGCTGAATGGAGGCTTGCCTGTATAAAGCTGAAACAACAGTCAGGAATTGCCGTTACTTCTTCGGCAAGCAGGGACCTACTTCGATGCAAACGAAGGCGAAACTATATACATCGCTAGCAAACGTCCGCTTGAATGTGTCAAGGCCGCAAGATTGCGGGTAGTGTAATTCAGGACTCATCCACCGTACCGATCCACCGTGGTGCGACGTGTGCGTGGCCGCTGTAGCATCAGAGAATACAGCAAGCCCGAAGTCCGCAAGGCGAGCATGCCATTCATCGTCAACGAGAATATTGGAACCTCTCAGGTCGCCATGGATTATGTCCTGTGAATGGAGATACGCCAAGCCCTGCGCAATCTCAAACAGCTGTGGAAAAAACATAATCATAGCTGCACTGACGGCTGCAGGGACACAGACTCACCCTTCGATTTACGTTGGCATTCCCATTCTCAGCGAGATGCTTCAATATCGTCCCATGTCGCATCCACGGAGATACCATACCTGGTGGAGACATGAGCAGAGTACAAAAATGAGACGAAATGAGCTACATAGGAATGATGGGAAACTTTCAGCATCAATGCCCGTGAATGGTAGTACGTATGGATGCTGTAGCCGCTGCCACAATAAGGCCTCTCTGCAGAAACGCTGTCGAATCGTATGTCGATCAGAGTCCCGCTGGAATACTCGGATTCGCTTGACTGCAACATCGGCGCCATTGAGGGTAGCGCGATGGATGTCCCCAAACGAGCCTCCGAAGGTTGCTTCCTTATCTAGGTTGGATACACCGCCAGTGATGAAGAGCGAGGTTGGGAGAGTATCCGAAGCCTCGGACAGCTTGACGAGCAACCGTCGCGCTTTAAGTGTGAACCCTGCTTCCTCCGGTCCATGAAATGAGCCTTTATCTAACACCTGGACTACCTAATCAGAACCATCAAACGAATACATAGTGAATGCGAACGTCTTGGATAAGATCGACACATCGCTGTGCACTGTCGCTCTTGAGTCGTAGCACAGTCTTCTTCAAGACGTCTGTACTCAATACGAGTTTGAAGAGCCGCGCTAGGTCAGCATCATCCTTCTGGAGTGCAGCACGCAGCCGCCGATCATTCGAGACTCCTAGAGCAGTAGACACTTTCAATAGCCTGACACGGAGCTGGGTGCATTGTACGAGGCTCCAAACAGCATCAAGGGATGCCATGAATCGGATCAGTCTCTCCAGAACAGCTCGTAATCTATGAGCAATATTGGTTAGTATCTGCCGAAAACACCATGGAACGCCTCGCCTTTCATCCTGGCTCTCTTCCAGAGTTGTGATGAAGGAGAACAAATGCTATAAATGTGATGTTTGATACACTTGCGAGTTGGAGTAAGATCGGTCATACCTGGTATACTTTGCTATTCGCCTGTAGTAACGCATCAGCACATATAGACGAGAACAGGAGAGCGACACGCACCACCTCGCAATCCGAAACCGGTGGATCTTCGACTTGAAGGCTGCTAGCAGCCACATCACCCTCCGCGAGATCCAACGCTATCTTCTGACGTGTCAACGCAATGAAGCCCTCTATCCATTGCTCCAGATCCTTCGCTACTCGTTGTACCGCAGACAATAGAT